CATATTTTCTTGAATATGTGGGTTTAAAAAATGGGCAATTTTGATCATATTGTTGCTTTATTACCTTTAATTTTAATTTTTTCCCCTATTTTCTTCACTTAGCCCTTTCATCTACACTTGGCATTTTTGTCATCAGTATCTTATATGTAGTGCTTTAATAATGTTTTAACCGAAGTAGAAGACATCAACGTTTTGATTATGGGAAATATATCATCTGTACATATGAAGTTATGAGAGTGCACTGCATTGGTTGCTTTTTTTGTTTTTTTTTTTTAATTTGAAGATATTTGAGTCCACCCAGTGTGATGATGTTGATATTTTGTTTGGTGACGATGCATAACTAGAGTACAGGACTTGATCACAATTTCTTTTCTTATGTAATATTTGATTCTTCTACATCTTTATACTTCATTTTCATGTCAATATTTGACAGCTTTTTTTATCCTTCGACTTATGTTTTCTGACTGAAGATAAGCTCTCATTAAGATAAAAAGTTTCATAGACACAGCTAAATGCTCCTAATCTAAGGAAATTTCTGTTTAAATTGCTTGAAAACAAGGTTGACATTAATGGGGGAAACAATCGAGTGGTAAGCAAACGATGATGTGTTTTGAAGTTTTCTCATAGCCTCTTTTCTTTTAATATAAATATGTTTTTCAAAAAGAAAAATTTTATAAGAGAAGTAATTAAACTCATGATCTTTTCCCCAAACTATTGCCCTTCCCACCACCTAAGGAGCCTTATGTGGTTATCTTGAGCTCAAGTGTCTGAGAAGAAAGCATTGGACTGGTGTGCGTCAAAAGAAAATATTCCTTACTTCGAGACATCTGCTAAATAGGACTGCAATATAGATGCTGCTTTTTTGTGTATTGCTAAGACTGCTCCAGCTAATGAGCAAGGGCAGGATATGTAAGTTTTGCTATAAATTGGCTTGCCCATATTCAAAATCATATCAAGATCTTTACATCCAATATATATATAAATATATATTACATGCGCGTGTATATATAAAATGCAGGATGTTTGTCTCAATCTTCAGCAAGATTGATGGAACCTAATAATACTAGGAAATTAGCAAGACAATCTTACTAGCTAAACACTCAGTCGTAAATGATAGCAAGTGATCCTAGAAAATAGAGCAAAGGTGTGGGTGTGCATGCTAATGGAAAAAATCCTTACTGATTTATCTGATATACTTAGCCCTTTGACCCACATTTTTTGGGTCTTGCATTCTCCACCCTTCCTGTCTTTCTTGTAATTCAATCATTTAGATTGGTTTGTATTGGGAACTCACATTTGAACTTTGACTTGATCATTTTGTTGATTGTGATGCAATTGTTCAATTCATTTGCCACGAGTTGCTTAAGCTTATGTATTTGTCACATCCCGAGAAGCTTCACTTGGACATAGGGAATCAAAAATTGGAATGAGAGCCAATATAGAAACTAGATGGGGATACGAACTAATTTTTGATGCGAAACCCTGATAAGGTTTGGGTTGGCATTTTTGTAATTATCGGTCTAGCAAGGGCAAAATAGGAAATTTAGAGAAAAGTTCTAGAAAATTCCTAAAAAAGAGGAAAAGTATAAATTAGAAGTTTTAGAAACTTGGTTGAAGCCCAAAAGATAGAATTATCATGAAAATAAATTGTTACAGAATTTCCCATAAATGGAGGTTTTTTCAGGAAAATATTGAAAAATCATAGGAAAATAATTATTTTAATTAATTAAACACCTCAATAATTGTGGTAAAATCATATAAAAATCAGGAATTAGTTTTTTTAAATTTATAAAATTATTGTTAGGCCTTGGAAGCTTAGAAATTAATTTTAGAAAATTTATTTTCCCACAGTGACATCGATAGAGGTCTAATTGGAGAAAATTCAAAATAAATACTTAGAGGCAGCAAAAAATTCTGAAAAGTTTCACATCATGTTCTCATATCAAAAGGTGAATTATCATGGAGAGAAATAAATTTTTGGAGGTCTGAAAAAATTATGAAAAGTTACTAGTGAATATCAACAATAAAGTTTCAAATTGGTTTGGGATTTTGATTTGGATTATGGGCCATCTTTTTAGACCAGCCCAAACCATTTGTGAGGCCCACATTGAACCTAATAAGAGCCCAAATTCGTGCAGCTTTTGGACAGCTCCATATTTAATTAAATAAAATGCAAAATTAAGGGATAAATATTGGAAAATTCTAGAGTTGGGACACATGGTTAAATTTGAAGCTATGAGACACTTGATGGCTGCCAACACACTTCATTTCCTGCCACCTTGGATGTCCAAATTGAGAGGGGAATGGCAGATTATATTTTCTATAAATACCCCCTCCTAAAATACAAAAAAAATGTTGGAAAAATTGGAAAAAAGAGGGGAGGTGCTGCCATTTTCGTTTTGACCAAGGGAGACTGAATTTGTGGAGGTTTTGAATAAGGAATCATTCAGTTTGTATTAGGAAAACATCAATGTATGCTTAAGCTTCCTTATCCCTAAGTTTTACACTAATTTAGTTAGGGTTTTGAGTTGAAAAATTAAGGGTACATGCTGCCCAAAATTTTGATGGATCATGTGATGTTAGGAAAGGATAGAGACCTTAAATATCAAGTGAAATAAGCATTTATAAGTGGTGTATGGATTGATTTTGGAAGAAAATCCACCTAAAGTTCTAGGGGTTCAATTCGGCCAACAATAGTACATGGGGCAACAGTTTGTTTTAGCTTGATTTGATTATTCCAATGGGTTTAAAACATATTTTTGTGTAGAGATATACTATTGGAAAGTGTTTAAAATCATTGGAATCAAAAAATAGAATTTTCGGAAGTATATACCCCCTATTCGGCCAACATGATTTCATGGCAAAAGAGTTTGATTTTTAAAAATCTGATTTCATATTTGAATTCCTCATGAAAAATTGTGTGGGAATGAGTCATGAGGTTATCGATTCTAAAGGAGGAATTATTTTGTTGAAAATCCAAGAAAAAAGGGAGAAATTGTTAAGTTAACGATAAAGTGTTATGTTTAAGTGGTTTGGCTATTAATTTGGCCTATGTTTATGTTTGATTTAATAGGCTTTGTGCGGAGGAATCAAGGAGGATCATTATTCCTTGAGGTGACCGAATCGGACAAGTGATAAAAGGTAGCTTTGAATTATAATTTGATTGTTTATCTTGCTTATTTAATATGATATGTTTGTTTGCTTGGATTGAGGAATTTGTATTGTGATCTTGGTTGGTTGGACACCCTTGATTTATCCTTTGGCCAAATTCATGGAATCATGTTAGTGTGGAAGTGTTAATGTTCCTTTCCTAGCATATTGTTAGATATGATTTCATGTGACTTGAGGATGTCTTAAAGTTCTATAACATGTCACATTATAACTTGCTTGATTTGCATGATAATTATAATTCAAATGCTACTGAGATTTCTATGAAATCTCATTCCCCCTATGTCCATTTATTTATCATTTAGGAAGTGGCTCATCTATGGATCAAGGTAAGGAGTTGGTATTGGGATAGAGAAGCTTGATGATCATTATGTTATTTTGGAATATCATGTGATGTGTTACTAAACTTTATGTCAAGTTTGTAATGGATTATGAATGGTAATATGTTGTAAATTATATTGGTATGACATGGTTAAGTGTTGAAATATTGAGTGGTAGAATGCCTAAAGAGTATGGAAAAGGAAAAAGGAATATAAAATTCAATAAAAAAGTGATTAAGGGATAAAATTGCCTAAATTAGGGGCAAAATGGTGACAGAAAAAATAATAAGCAAATGATGGAATTTAGACCTGATATTTTGTAGGCGAATGGATCTTATTTTTAGCTTTAAATCAAGTGGTAAACCATCAAATTTGGAGCTTTGTGTTAAGAGTTATGTCCTTTCAAAGTTGAACTTAAATTCTGAAAATTCAAAAATTAACCATATGAACAATGTACATTGTCGAATTTTCTGGTGTTGTTATAGATGGAATCAAGTCTAATCAATATTTTTCCTCTATATAAATTTTTAACAAGCTTCACGTGAAAATTAGAACCATCTCGTTTCGATTTTTTTAGAATTAGTTATGAATTTTCAAAGTTGACCCAAAATCGGATGAACAGTGTATGGACAGAATTAAATGTGAAATTTGAAATTGAAATTTTTCACTCAGAAACACTAGAAAATGTGTTATAATAGTTTCAATTGACATATAATGGGGTAATAAATGAGGTGTTATAGTATTCATGTTCCTTCATAACAAAATTATCTAAGCAAATGTTGTAATAAATGGCATTTTATTGATAGTGCCCTTGATGTTTGGTTAAACATAGAATGAATTGCTTAATTTAGTTTGGTGATCGAATGCTGTGAATTGTGGTAGTTCTCTGGTATCATAAAATATCCTATTCTATTTCTTGGTCAAGCAAAGTTCTTTTTTCTTTTCGTTTTGCTTTTATTATTTGGACTGTACTTGATTATTGATGGTTATAGGTTTTGTAAGATGAAGTATTGCTTCCTCAAAGATAATGCATTGAATCTAATTCATTAAGAAATGCTAATAGTTGATTAAGCTTTGTAAGATATCAAAGCAAGCGAAGTTTAAAATAGAGATTTATGCATGATATTATGGTTTGATCTCTAAAGACATTAGATCTTTTATGGTACTTTTTTAAAGATAATTTATGAATTGGATAAAAAATTATGTATTGCCTAGTTTTATATGTAATGCACCTATTAAGAACAACCCTTTTGTCACAACAAATATATTACACAGTGGTATGACATTCAAAGTTGAACTACACAATCCTTGTAAATGACTTTATTCATCAATTACATCATCATTGAAAAGCATAAGATGATTATGGGAGAGGTAAATCACTTATCTCTTCTAAAAGCACGAACCTTCCAGATATAAGTTTGGCCTCAGTTTGCTTTCACCAGTAATAACGATATTGCAGTTTATACCATATCCTATCAATGAATTGAAAATAAGCATACCTCCATGAAGTACTGTAGAGCAAAGGACCCACTACTACCCAAAATCCCACAATAAATCCCAATGCCATGCTTACAAAGAACCAATGGATTCCATTTCCATGATGGACTTCTTTGTCTTTATCATTATTGGGGCTATTTGATGGACAATTGCTGTTGAGTGGAGGACCACATAAATCATTGCCTATAAAACTTGATGCTTCAAAGCTTTGTAATTGGGTCCCTGTTGGAATTTTTCCCATCAAGTTGTTGTAAGACAAGTTCAAGAAGCTAAGAAAGCTTAATTGAGAGATGCTTGCTGGGATTTTGCCTGAAAGTAGATTTCTTGACAAGTCCATAGACTCCAATGATTCCATATAGCCAATTTTTTGAGGAATTTGGCCTATAAAATGATTATTTGAAAGGTTCAGGAAATGGAGTCCTTTAAGGCTTGAAAGTTCTATTGGTATCTCTCCAGATAATTTATTACTTGAAAAGTCAATACTTGTAACAAGACCAAGGTTGGTGCTGTAATCATAAACTCTTCCTTTCACCAATAATGCTTCAACAAACAACGTGAAATATATCCCATCAATTTGTTGTGCAGAATAAATGTATGACTCTAAACTACTATTTATTACTGACATAGCATGCAAATGCTCAACACACTTTGGAATATATCCTATCAACTTGTTGTGCGCAAGGTCCAAGATTTGTAGGAAATTCATGTCACAAATTTGATGAGGAATTGGACCAGAAAAGTGGTTTGATCTCAAAACAAGAATCTTTAAACTTGACAACCTTTGTCCAACCCAAGATGGAAGTATTCCTGAAAATTGATTATCTCCTAGATCCAAGCAAATCATGTTGCTTCCGTTCATCAAAAAGCTAGGAAATTTTCCAGAAAAATTATTATTGCGCAGGTTCAACATTTGCAACTCCAACAAGGATGCCATGGATGTGTTCAACATCCCAGAGAGATGGTTGTTTGCTAAGTTTACTGTTGTAAGATATGGCCAGCTCATCCAGCAATCAGGTAAGTTACCTGATAAATTATTTGATGCCAACTTAAGAAACTGTAATGACTTTGTCTCCTCTTGTCTATGACACAAAAAGTGAGTAATGGATCCCAAAAACCAATTGCTTGAAAGATCTATGTACATCACATTTTGTGATACACAAGGTAATTGGCCATATAATTTGTTTGAGCTTAGATCAACGGCACCTCCAAAAGTAGTGTTTATCAGTATAGTCGAAAGCTCTCCTTCAATATGATTGTAGGAAATATTCAAATACTGAAGATTGCCCATTTTGCTCCAAAACGAAGTTGGAATAGAATCACAAATCATGGCACTGGAGATATCCAAATACCAAAGATGTTCTAGTGATTGAACCCATGATGGAAATTGGGGACCTAAATTCCAAGAATCCAAACTTAACTCCTCTAAGAGTAGAAAAGAAGGATTCCAATTAGGGTCCACTTTTAAAGTGAGTTGGTTTTTTGGTGCCCAAAATGTCTGCAAATGGGTCAAATTTACAAAATGGGCTTCCTTGACAACTCCTTGAAAGAGATTATATCCCAAACCAAGGTAATTCAATTTAGAGAGGGATCCTAGAATCTCAAAGGGATTTCCATCAAGTTGATTTCTAGTGAGAACAAGGTGCATCAAAGATGTTAGATTTCCAAATGATATAGGAATTGCACTGTTTATAGTGTTGTTCCAAAGAGAAAGATATACCAAAGATTTAAGATTTCCTAACGAGCTAGGAAGTGCACCTTTGATGGAATTGCTAGATAGATCAAGATATTTTAGAGATGCAAGGTTTCCCAATGAGTTAGGTATTAGACCTTGAATGGAGTTGTCAGAAAGATCAAGTTCAATGAGATTTTGAAAAGACCAATCTGGTCAGTGAGATGGCCAGATAATTGAGAACTACTCATATAAAAAATCTCTAATGCTTGGGAAACACATCCTGCTGAAAGAATTTTTAATACTTCAGAAATTTGATGATTGCACTTATTGTTTGAAAGAGCCAATTTTTTCAAGTTGCAAAGATTTCCCATAGAAATTGGAATCGGCCCATTTAAAAGATTATCACTAAAATCAACAGTAATAAGAGAAGTCAAGTTTCCAATGTTAACAGAAATTGTGCCAACTATGTTGCTTTGAAAGAGACTGAGAGACTTTAAATGATGAAAGTTGTACAACCAATCAGGAATAGAAGAGTTGAACTGATTGTAAGATAAATCAAGGTGTTGAAGGAGAGTTAAGTTTTGAATACCAACAGGGAGGGGACCTTGAAAACTGTTATTGTTTAATTGAAGATGAACCAATCTTTTCAGTTGAAATACCCAATTTGGGATTAATGAAGTGCCAAAATAAGAATCAGAAAGGTGAAGGACAGCTAGAGATGAAAAGTTTATGGTGGATGGTTCAAAATGATGGTTGAAATCACATTCTAATAAATGCAACTCTCTCAAAGAAGGAAGTGCATGTAGAACCTGCAACCAGTCAAAGGTGTTGGAGAGGTTTGCATAACTCAGCTCAAGATATTGAAGAGAAGAAAGAGCTGAAACCCATTGAAGATTTTCAATAGGTATTGCAAATCTATATCTGAGATGAAGATTGATTAGATTCGAGAGGTTTCCAATTTGATGGGGAATGCTTCCACTAAATTGATTATCTCCAAGATCAAGATATTGTAAATTGGAGAGATTTCCAATTTGATGAGGAATGCTTCCACTAAATTCATTACCCCTGAGATCAAGATATTGCAAATTGAAGAGCTTCCCGATTTGATGAGGAATGCTTCCACTAAATTCATTACCTCCGAGATCAAGATATTGCAAATTGGAAAGCTTTGCAATTTGATGAGGAATGTTTCCACCAAATACGGCATTAGATAGATTAAGATATGTCAAACTTGTGATTGAGCCAAGAAAAGTAGGAATTTTCATACCTCCAAAATCATTATTGCTCAAGTCTAGATAATTCAGATGCTTCAGGCCAAGCAAAGAAGAATGTATCTCACCACCAAAACTTAATGTCTCATTGAAAACCATGTAGTGAAGCTTTGAAGGAGGTGGAGTTGTGAGGTGGAGCTCAAGAACATGGCCTGTAATGTTGTGGCAGATAACAAAAGCCCAGTTGCAGCAATTTCCATTAGGAGACCAAGAAGTGAGCCTGTTTGAAGGATCTGAGAGATGATGCTTTATCTTAAGTAAGGCATCTCGCTCACTTGGAATGCATTCAACCTCACAAGATGCTCCGCGTATGCATAAAACAACATTTGATAAGGTAAGTAACCAGACAAAAACAAACACAAGAATATTGCAGGGACCATCCATGACCACGTCAAGGCAAAATGTTTTTGCTATCCGATATTTTGATCTAATCGATGGATGCTTTGATGGACATATAGCTCTTGGAGGAAAGAGCTGGTATTTATAATGCCACTTTCGATTTATTTTGTTTGAAGATTATTTTCAGTTATATTTTAATATACATGGAAAAAAACTTTCTTTTCAACTTCATTTTTCATCATGTGAGGAGCGAACAAATCTATGGCGTAAAACGGGGGAAAAAACCTCCTCTACGTCATTCTTTTTAATTCGCTCTTTAGTCTGAACATAATGACTTTTTCCAAGGATAATTTTTTTATCTATTGTAAAAGATTTTCAAATTATTTATTAAGTCCTTTTACTTGAAAGAGTGCTAAAACAAAAATAATTTCATCAACATTTAAATAACTCGTCAACATTAAGAATTGAAAGTTTCAACAATAATGCTATTGAGGTAAACGTGTGTGTTCTAAGGTTTTAGAACAGAACAGAAGAGAAATGGACGAGACGTTCTCTATTATTTTTTAACATTCCGTGTTGTTATAGGTTGGGAACTGTCTATCTTTGTTTTACCATGGGGAACTGCTTCTCATTAATCAATAAGAGAAATTTTTAGAAAAAAATTCCTTGAAAACCCAATTGAATAGCCCACACTCTAATTTGGGTCATTGCCCTTATGCAATTCCTAATGAAGTTAGGTGACTCTGCTAGTGATTTTAAAATCTAGCGAAATGACAAGGGTGGCCCTATGTAATTAACAAGTTTGGTTACCTTTTATTGCAATGCATTTGCAATAAATCTTGACTAAAACTTAAGCACAACACACCCTTAAAAATTAAGGAGTTTCATTAAGTAGTTTACAAGTTATAATTTCAAATTAACAACTTACGTTTCACCAAAATTTGAAATAACTTAAGCACAATAGATTATTAAAATTTAACAAGTTTAATTCCAAATTTTAAAAAAAAAAATTCTTCATAAAACAATTCTGATAAATCTTCAAGAAAAACTTCAGCACAAGACAACCTTTAAAATTAACAAGTTTTATTATGCAATTCACGAGTTTTTATTCCAACTTAACAACTTCGCTTTCTTCACGATACATTTACAATAAATCAATATTGACTAAACCTAGGGGCACTGAAGTAATTTGATCAAGTTTCTAAGTTCCTCTCTGGGTCATATTTGTCTGATTAGAAATTTCATAGGTTCAGTTTGTGAGATTAGAAATTCGGTTGGTTTTTTAAGGAATTTTCTGAAATTTTTATGTATTGAAGAAGAAATTTATTTTCATTCATCATGTCCAAATTATTTCCTTTTTCTTGAAATTCTTCCAAGTAAGATTAACAAGCAAATCCTCCAATCTATATTTGAGTGATTTTTTTCCATCGAGGGATGTTCAAATTATGCAGCAAATCCTGTTATATTAAAAATATTGTCGAAGTATAGATAATTTCAACATGACATCTAAGTACCTCGCCAAAATAATTCTTTTTTTTTTTCACTTTATTATTATACATGGAATCATTGTTGAATTTGGAAATTCCCAAATAGTCACATGAATAAGAGAAATTCCTATTTAGACACACATGTTGATCAAATGGGGATTTTATATAATTTGATGGAATGAACATATTTTCCTTATGAATTTTTTTATTAGAAAAACAATTTTAAGTCTTCCTCACCGATAGCATTGGCGGCCGCCAGCGACCCATGCTGGTGTTTGGGTAGGCATTTTTCTTATGTGTCTGAAAGAAAATTTCTCTTACTTAAGTAGTTATTTAGATATTTCTGAATTCAACAATAATTTCTCTGTCATTTTCCATGAACACATCACCATTATCGATATTCAATGTAAATAATAAAATATATGGAAAATCCTAGAAAAGGGGTAAAAATTACAAAATCCTGAATCAGAAATTCTTATAAAACTATGTTGTTGTTCGTAAGGCAATTATTGCTAAAACCCGTTAAAATGTTGTAACAAATCTTGCTGTTGAATATTATAACTTTCACAATCTTTAGCTGTCATTTTTTTCTAAAATGTATTAGAGTTGCACTATTTACAATGATTTCTTGGAGTAAAGTTGCATCTAGCACTCCAATTTTTTTTTTTCCTTATGTTGCATCCAGTACCTCGATCTTTATTATGGTACATCTAGCACCTTGATTTATAATAATATTTACATATTTGTCAATATTACATATTATAATTTTATTGAAAAAAATTAAGTTTATGCAAATATGCAAATGGAAAATAAAATTGAGATTTGATATGATAGTTCTACAAAACTATTATATGATATCATTTTGTTCAAAATAAATTGATCAAATGGATGCAAGATATATCATGGCGATTCTGAAAATAAGTTTTCTCATCTCCAAACTGAGTAAGGCAAGTGAAAAGTATATTGATATTTCAACTTATGCAGAAGATATATTAGAGGAATATAATACATTTCAACAAATAATTTGATGACAACTCATCATGCATAATTCAACTAATAGAAATATCATGCTGTACTTTTTTTTTCTTAGCCAAAGTTTTGTATCACATGATTTTCCTTGCAAGGTCTTTTTAACGATGTAGCTTCAATATAAATTAATGAAGCACAATATTTGTTATTGACATCCAAAGGGTAGTATTATAAATATTATACATGTAGATGTTCATAACCTGTAACTCTTAGGATTCTTTATTTTTGAATTTCCTAAACCCATAACCTTTCCAATGAATGACTTGTGAGGAGTTTCTCATGTTTAATGTCATTATGCCTTTCTTCATTTTTTTTTTTTTTACAATCTTAGAATTAGACTTTAATGGTTTGAAGCCTATAAATAGAGGATTGGTACCCACAAGTGAATAAGACATCCTTATTTTTTCTTACAATTCTTGTTTTGCTATTCTTTTTTCCACTTTCTAGCTTTCTTGTTTTCATAACAAAATACAAGGTTTTTCCTGAAGATTAATCAATAGTAAATAAAATACCGTTATTTCAAAAAAAATTAATGTGTGCGAAATACCTGCCATCCCCCTTATTATGCTTTTGCTTTACAGGAATAATAAATGAAAGAGATGTGGAGAAAAGAAAGCTAATAGCCTTATGGTCTGATAACACGAACATTGTCCCATAACTAGAAGATAGTGAGCTTGATTTCACTTATAACCTTAGAATATTAATATTTGCCTCCCTAACTAAGGAAAACAAATAAGAGAAAGTATTAATGGTGCTGCATTGTGTAAAATTTTTCTTATAGTCATTATCCAACGCTGTAAAATCAAACAATGGACTCTTTAATCTTGAAGTCTTTCACAATAATTTCTTGTATTCATGTTTCTTTGACATCTTTAACCATTGAATCTTGACTCTTTTAATTTACCAGTCAATAACGCAAACATGGGGCCCGAATTACTCTTTTCTTGAAAACCATCCGCGTAAGAATAGCAATCAACTTTTAACATTTCCACACAAGAACAGTTCATGGAAGACTTAAAATATAAAAATGTTGAATTATGATTAAAGAAGGATCTTCATTGTCAGCTTGCTGAATTTAACACGCACAAAAATAACAGCATGAAAGACTTTTTCCCCTTGCGCATTAGTATTTTTTTATTGGAGGTGATCTTATTTGTTTCTAAATATTTAAAATGTTATGTCGATTAAGATAATCTGAGTATATATATTTGACTCAAAAAATGTATTGAAAAGTAAATAATTTCACATCTTACTTGACTTGTAAATTGTGTTATTGAATGTATTATGGATTGCTAGATGATTTATTTTTGTTATGATGATTTTGTCTACAAAATATATTGAATTGAATGGACTAGAAGTCCCATATATTTGTTCTATAATAATATTTGCATATCTTGTTGATATAACGTAATTTTATGGGAGAATTATCATGAGGTCCTAAAAAAAAATTAATTACCAAAACATTTTAAGGATAAGTGACCAACTTGAACCTATTATCATTCTTTACTGTAGAACTTGTTATTGCATGTTTTTTAGTTGTCAATAGACTTTAGGATAATTAAATCCCTTCTTTCAGATCTCATTGTAATTCTCCCTAATTTCATTGGTAAAACTAAGCTTTTTCAGGTATCAAAGTGGATAATGAAATTAAGATTTGATATGATACTTCTACAAAATTAATATATGATCATTTTGTTAAAAATAAATTGATTACCTTGATGCAAGATATATCATGACGATTCTCAGAATAACTTTTCTCCGTTATCTCTGTAGCCCATAAGGGTATATTGATATTTCAACATTTCAGTAGATAATTTAGTGACAACGCATCATGCATAATTCAACAATAGGACTGTCATATTGTACTCTTTTTCTTTAGCCAAGGTTTTGTATCACATGGTTTTTCTTGTAAGGTTTGTTAACGAGACATCTTATATATATATATATATATTAAGACATCTAAGGAGTAGTATTATAAATATTATATATGTTAATGTTCATAACCCCTAACTCTTAGGATTTTTTATCATTAAATATCTTAAACCCATAACCTTCTCAATGAATAACTTGTGGGGCGTTTCTCTTGTTTAATGTCATTACGTCTTCTTCATTTCTTTGTAAACTTAGAATTAGACTTTAATGGTTTGAGGCCTATAAATAGAGAATTAGTACCCATAGGTGAATGAGAAATACTTCCTTATTTTTTCTCACAATTCTTGTTTTGCTATTCTCCTTTCTACTCTCTAGCTTTCTCATTTTCATAACAAAATACAAGGTTTTCCTAAAGATTAATCAATGGTAAATAAATTAGCGTCATTTTAAAATATAATTAATGTGTGCGAAGTGACCTCCCATGCCCATTATTATGCTTTTGCTCTACGAGAATAAAAAGGAAAGAGATATGGAGAAAAGAAAGCTAGTAGCCTTGTGGTCTAATGACATGAACTGCAATTAAAAGATGGTGAGTTTGATTTTACTTATAACCTAAAACTATTAGTGTTTGCCTCTCCAATTAAGAAAAACAAAGAA